GGGGGGGGGTCCCGGCCGTTGTGCTGAACCCACCAGAGTCCGGATCCTCCGTTTTCAGCTGGCCTTGGGACTTCTCTGCCACGGAGCTCTGACCCTTGGCCCAGGGCCCGCTGCCCACTCCTCCAGCCTATAACCAGCGCCCGGCGGTTGGAGTCTCCAGGAGACAGCAGCTTTCCCCCCAAGGGTAAGAGGGGAGCGGCCTGGAACCAATCCAGAAACTCCTGTTTTCTACTCCAGGCCCCATCGAAGGGAGGATGGAAGGGATATTTCTCTCTGCTTCTACCTCACTGTCTCCAGGATAACAAGCAGAACACCAAGGAATGATCAGTTGCCTTCCTTGGAGCAGATCTGACTTTACCTGCAACCTCCCATCACCAAGTTACTGAAAGTTACAAATCGAGAAATACACATTCAGGAAGGGCTGGACAGGACAAGCCAGCTCCTCCACGGAGAAGGCTAAGATAGTTCCAGAGAACTCAGGGCCAAGCCCCGCGCTCAGGAAAGAGGACCCGGAGGGAGCAAAGAGCAGCGGGAAGCCCTACTGCTCAGGCAGACGTCTCCCATCTCCGGTTTGTTTTTCTCCTACTCCATCTCCCACTCCTTAGCCTAAGAAAGAAAGAAACATGTCCAGACTGAACTCTTTTCCCCCCATTGTAGAGAGTTTTATTCATTTTTTAAAATATATATTTGTTTTTATTGATTTCAGGGAGAGGGAGAGAGAGAGATAGAAACATCAATGATGAGAATCATTGATCGGCTGCCTCTTGCACGCCCCCTACTGGGGACTGAGCCCACAACCCCAGGCATGTGCTCTGACTGGGAATCGGGGACCGCCTGGCTCATAGGTCGACGTTCAACCACTGAGCCATGCCAGCCAGGTAGTTTTATTCATTTTTAAGAATCATGCAGCACATCCGACCAGCGTGGCTCCGCGGTTCAGGATCAACCTAGGACCTAGGAGATCGCCGTTCAATTCCTGGTCAGGGCACATGCCGGCGTTGCAGGCTCCATCTCCAGTAGGGGGCGTGCAAGAGGCAGCCCATCAATGACTCTCTCATCATTGAAGTTTCTCTCTCTCTCCCTCTCCCTTCCTCTCTCTGAAATCAATAAAGATATATTTTTTAAAAATCATGCAGCAGTCCATAAATATTGCATCCTTGATGTCCCCACTGTAGTGTGCCCATGAGTGTACCTGGGGTAAGTGGGAGGGGAACACAGATGGCACAACAGTACACACATATTGGCACATACCAGGTTGCAGATCCTAAAGCAAAGCAAATAGCAAATGTGCCAAGATGGGGTCACAGGACACAAACTCTTCCCAGGTGAGATGGCTGAAAGTGTGTGGAGCTGGGCCCAGCATGGGCGTGAATTCTTGTGGGATGGAACTGGGTAAAAGGAAAAAATGCTCTGTGATAAGGCCAGGATCACCACACCACCTGGAGGCCAAGGGAGAGCTCAGGCCTGAGTGTGGCAGGAAGGACTCACAGGCCTCTGGGCAGGGTGATTTCTTTTCTAGGACAAGAGGCTACTTAATAAGCAATACATGTGCAAAAACAACCTTGGCCAACCACACTAGTCAATAGGAAAAGGCAAGTTGAAACCATAATGAGCCCAGCCGGCGTGGCTCAGTGGTTGAACGTTGAGCCATGAATCAGGAGATTGCTGTCAGGGCACATGGCCGGGTTGCAGGCTTGATCCCCAGTAGGCGGAGTGCAGGAGGCAGCTGGTCAATGACTCTCTCTCATCATTGATGTTTTTTTCTCTCTCTCCCTCTACCTTCCTCTCTCTGAAATAAAAAATATATATATTTTAAAATCTCTTAAGCAAAAAGTAAAAATATCCATTCATTCCACTCTACAGTCCCATTTCAAAATTTAAATCATGTTAAAAGATTGATATATATCCTCCATGATATTTTCTACACATACACATCTTTACAGAAAATAAGTTTATCTGGCGGCAAGGTAAACAGTGTTGACTATCTACCCCAATACCTCTCCCCTCTCATATTTTTTGTTGCTGAGAAATCCCCAAGTTTGTGTGATGTTCATCTACTGTAATCCTTTGCTCAGAGAAGATAGTACTATCCCCAAACTCAGGGGTGAGTAAAGATTGCTATTGGCTAATCATTTTCAGCCCTTTCCACATCTCGGGGTTGGCTTAGCCATGAGTATGTGATGCAACCCTGACTTTCTGGCTTGGAGATTCTAGAAAAAGTTTTTCCTCCCAATACAAGGGATGCATGATAGGCAGCATCCCACTTCTTCTTATATGTCATGTCTGCATTTGATACCTGGAGCTGCTGCAGCCGTCCTGACCTGGGCAGGGGGCGAGGGGAAGGACAGGGGGATTTCAGAAAGGCATGAACACCAGGGAACAGGAATCACGGGGACCACTCTAGGGTCCGTCTGCCACAGACAGAAATACTTAAACCCACTCAAGTAAAGGGGAGAGGAGTTAGCGGGTGGATGGGAACATCTCCCAAGAATGAACCAAACAGCCTGGCAGGAAATGGAGCTGGGTCTGGGGGCTGTCAGATACTGAGGCAGCTGCTCTGTCCTTTTGAAAGAAGACTTCTGCTTGCTGTTTCTTCCTGGGGTCAAATTTCTCTGATTTATTTTTCTTATAGTATAGCTGCTGTATTTTCCTCTTTGTAGACAGAGCGCTCAGCCTACTTAGAGCATCTGCCCCCTTATAATTCTGTTCTGCCCATGACGTGGGCTTGTTATGGCGTCTATTCTGGTCGTGTCCCCCCCCCGTGGGCCTGAATCTGCATGACCTTTCCACTTACCTCCCCAGGGCTAATTTTGCCAAAGAATCGAATTACCTCCCTTGGGTCAGATTGTTACTGGTCCAAAAAGCTGTGGTTAGGAGAACAGCACCACACGGTATAAGGATGGCCACTTAAGCAGGGAGCTGTGAGTGAGCAGGCACCCAATTCATGTCTTTTATTTCATTCCACTGCATTAAACTTGTAAGCGGCAAATGGAGGTGTCTCGGCCTGCCTGCCTAGCTGCGCTGGTCGTTGTGACACTATGTAGACTCCATGGAGACACAAAGCTCACTGATCTTGTTTGTTTTTGTGTCTTCAGTACCTAGAACCGTGCTTGGCACCTCATGTGCACTCAGTCAATATGCAGTGAATGGCCGGAATGAATGGGACATGATTCAGTACTTCCTTCCAAACTCACTTTCCTACAAAGGCAAATGTCCCAAATACTTTCCCCTCTAAACTATAAAATCTGATCGTAGGTTTCACTGCTCCCTTTTCTCAGGGTTAAGGGTTGGGCGGAAGTGGAAGCTCGCTGGGGAGGAGTATGTAAGTGTGCGGAGGGCTTGGTGGGGATAATTACTCTATTGGGTGGATTGGGTTGAAGTTAAAATCTGGCTGGTTTACTTAAGAAAGAAGAATCAGGTGCATACTGTTACGCCAAGCTCTGCTCTAGACACGGACAGAGCAGCCGGTGAAACAAAGTTGCCGTCATTATAGACCAGTGAAGGAGCAGACGGTGAATACAACTATTTTCCTAATGAGTAACATAACAATGCAGCGTAGGGGCTCAAGCAATGTTGACTGAAAGAGTTATCTTTGTCTACAGAGTATCACACCAGAGTCTGGTTCAGGAAACAGCCCTGGGAACTGAGAAGCAGCCCCTGTTCTTGCAGCCCTAGCAATCCAAAAAGGAAAATACAACCGGGGCTGCCCCCTGGAGCTCAGAGCCCAGAAAGAAGGGCGAAGGCGCCCTGAGCGCGGGCTTTGCCAGGCCCGTGAAACGCGCTTCACTGCAGCCCTCGCATCTAGTCCTCGCCGACTCTAGGACGTTGTCCAAAGACAGACGGATGGCTCTGAACGACAGGCCTGAGGCCGGGCAGTCTGGATAGCGAGAAGAGCTCTGGCGAGCGGGTGCTGACCCTCGGGTTTAGACCTGCTCCGTGTGACCTTGTGCAAGTCGCGGTCCCCCCGGTCCTGCTGTGCTCCAGCCTGTGTGTGGTGTCTGGCTCCCCGAGTTTTCCCCGAAGCCTCCTTCCCCAGCCTTCCGAGGCTGCCTGGGGTGTGTGAAGGGGGTTCCGAGGGATGGGGGACCTGGGGCAAACGCGGGAGGTGACTGAGGTCAGTGGGGAGGGGGTTGATGAAGTCAGTAAAGAGTGGTCAGTGGGGAAGGAGGTCGCCGGAGAGAGGGACAACCCTAGACGCTCCCTTTCGTCCCACACTGCCCCTGCTCCCACGCCCTTCAGCTGCGCTCCCAGGACGGACCTTCTCCTGGGCTCCAGGACAGCATTCCTTTCCCCACCGGGCGCCTCCACCCCGCTGCCCGACGCTGAAAGGCGACAAATCCTCCGGCGCGATGCAGGGCCCGGCTTCTCGGCCCGGGGACGCGCGGCCCCGCCCCCCTCCGCGTCCGCTCCCCCCCGGCTCGCGACCACTTGGT